GCTCAAAGAGCGCTTCGTCATCTGTAGTGCTTTCGCCAGGGGCGAGCACTACAGGTATGGTCCGCATTGAGGGTACACGAGAGCCACCTCGTTGAGCACGCAGACGAGTGTGATAAGCTTCCAACGGAAGTTTTTGTGGAACCAAGAAACGAGCTCGAAAAGCTTTCCGTTTGGCAAGCTCATTTTTCGTCATAGCCGGGAGCCCGATGATGTGGAGGCGTAACGGTCGAGCTACCGCGTCCTTCGCTTCCACAGCGGGATCCGCCAGGCGGAAGCCATATTCCACACAAGGGTCAATGACCGGCTGTGGATGGGCGCGCTTTAAAGCCGCCTTATAGGCAGCTTCAAGCTGTCGCCTCTGAGTCATTGGTTATTACACCACGTTCCTCGGCTGACGAGAAGTCAGCGAACGGACATGGGATCCGCACGGCTCAAGCAGGTCTCGTTTTTTGCTGCTGTCACAGCTCGCCTTCCTCGTCATTCCATGCGGGAGAAGGAGCGTCAGACTCGTAGTCGACCACCTCCATATCCTCAACGAGGTCGTTCGTCATTGATAGCGTGCGCAAAGCGCGACGCTTGTGCTCATCGAACCGAGGAAGTACATCCTCCGGTGCCGCGGACGCACTATCCGACATCGCACCGCGGGTGGGAGACGAAGTTGGGCTCTGCCCGTGCTCGCTGTCAGATCCAGCGAGACTTGGTGACTTCCGTGTCGTGGCCACAGGGCTCATTGAGCAAGAAAGTAGTTTAATTCCAACGAATTGAGTTGCAGTGTCTAGCGGACACGCGAGCCTCGTTGAGGCAATAATCGATTGGGACTGCATATGCTCTCAATCTTAATGACATTAAGTGTAACGGGGTTACACGTACCCTAAAAACAAGGGTATGTGTCACACAAGATGTGCATGGTGTAACTGCACCCAAACAAGAATATCGTATGTGGCTAGGTAGCCAGTAGTTATGCATGTATATAGATTTTACTATATATATTCAGTATATTCTGGAAAATCTAAACTTTTAAAATTAGGATAAAAATAAATTAAAAACCCTTTTGGACTTTAAACCGAAGAGTCAAATAACCTTGGGAATGCAATAATTACTCTTGGAGTAAGCGGATTGCGATCCGCTTACTCGTGCTTGTTTTAAGTATAGAACGAAAGGTCGGTGACCTAAATAACGCTTCCTCAAGTGCTGAGTTACGGCAGCCCCGCTGCAGCATGAGCTATATCGAACGATCGGTGAGAGTGCCGACAAAATCCATTATCTGGAATGTCTCATTGGGAAGCATGATCTGTGCACGTATCCTGCAATAGAAAGACCATAGTAGAGTGACCATAACTTGCTGTCTTAAAGACAATTAAGAAAGTAGCTTAGCCTGGCCAACTTCATGTGCACATGCTGATCATTATGGCTACTTACCTAGCTTCTCAAAACGGATTTCAAATGGTGCTGGGATGCGGCAGGAAAATCAGTTGAGACTTTCACTTGCAGCCCTGATTAGATTATGTCAAAAGAAGTCTGAAGTGCGTCTAGTTCTGGTCCTTTTAAATTCGCGATCGGCCTTTTCATGTCGCGTTTTACACTTCAGGTTTTACAATCAAATGTGCTACTGTATGCGCCGTTGCGCTCAGCGACATCGTCACCGCATCTCCTCACAGAATGAAAAGGTGGTCATCTTTTCTCGCCGAGAAAACAATTTAAGACGGGTCATTCAAATGTGATGGCGGATGCCCATTGGTGTTGCATGGGCATCATGAAGCGACGAGGCGATAAGTTAGCCGCACGGGTCAGATGCAATATACGTTTCAATCCAAAGCTCTGTGAAGCAAGGAGTCTCAGCTTGAGTGTTGCATGACCAACGCAGCGGATTGTAAGTTTGCACCGCTATTCATTAGCTTAAGGCTTACTGCATATCAGCACGAACTTAGTGAATACTTAGCGTGTGGTGGCACCTCATTGAGAACTTGACAAAAGAATACTATACGAGGCACATGGTACATTTTTGAGTAGCCGCATGAGTAAAAAGAAATGCCATCGGCTCAGTGACATGCACCTTAAAAGTGTGCGTATCTTGAACGGAGCAATGGCCACCAGCAAACGACGTTGGCGCTTTTTTTCAAGCAACAGCTCGGAGCTCTCTAAATCGGATTGTTGTCGTATTTGAAGACCAAACAAAAAGTCTGTGCTTAAAGGATTGCGGACATACTGCAAATTCTGCAAGCGTATACGAGCTCCAATGCATCAGGTGAGGATCTCATCCGCTGACACAATTTAAACATGCGCGCATTAGTATGACCCAGATAATACATGTTGTGCCAGCAGTACGTAGTTCTTAGAGGTCCTAACTCCATAGAGCATATTTTTGATTGCCTAAGCAGCGGCGTCAATGTGACCCTCAATAAAGCTATACGTGGGCCTGGTGACAGCGGCAATTATGATATAGCTCGATTAAACGTAGGGTGAAGGAGTCGTTGTATTCTCACTTCAATGGTCTTGCAAGCGATATCATAAAATACAAAGGTTGGAGCTCAATGCTTACCTTTGTTATGCCCAAAGAGGGTGTCGGAATCAAAGCGGCACTCACGTGCAGCTCATGTCGAATCCGCAATATCCAGAACTTTGAGGCTACGGTGCTATTTTTTGACTAGAAAAATCGCCCGGTCTACAGCGGGGCTGCAGAAGCTCCTTCGCTTAGATGAAGCTTGGTTAAGGTCGGTGACCTTCGTTCTATACTTAGAACCAGTACGAGTGTAGCAGATTGCAATCCGCTTACACCAAGAGTAATCACAACCTGAACCCACGGCAAATTTACTCTTCCGTCCAGAACGTAAGCTATATTTCTCGGTTTGGTTTGCGGCAAAGCCGCCTATTTCTAAATCTGTAGCATTTCCCATCGATAAAGTAAGAATAATTAAATGTGTAACTACTGGCTATTCCAGCCACATACTGACTTCTTGTTTAAGTTTAGCTAGGTCACACCATCTTGTGTGTCCCACTCCCTTTATACCAGCGGGCGTGATACCCCGTTACACTCTCCTCCATCGAGATTGTGTACACTTACAGCTCACATTCAACTGTCGTCTCGAGCGGGTTCGCGTGTCTAAGACACCACAACATCACCAGAACCTTTTTATGAAATCTCTGCTTAACGAGCCCTTTGTCGAGGCCCGGTCCCGTTGGTCCCGAGAACGCCCGCGGGCAGGGCCCTTCTTCGTCTCCTGCACGCGGTGCAACTTAGGACAGCACGTC